ATATATATATACATATATAATAAAATAAATAAATATATATGTGTGTGTCTGTAAGCCACTTATAGCATTACCCTTTAACCATTCCTAGAAACAGGATACTAGGGTAAATGAGCTCTCTCCCTGAGTGAGTGGGGCCTGCTCAGTCTGGAGAAGAGATGACTCAGGAGGGGACCTCATTAATGTACTCAAGTACATGAACAGGAAGTGCCAAGAGGATGGAGGCAGGCTCTTCTCACTTGTAGAAACTAATAAAACAAGAGGTAGTGGGCAAAAACTGATGCACAGGAAGTTCCACCTGAATATGCGGAAGAACTTTACCATGTGAGTCACTGAGTGCTGGAACAGGTTGCCCAGAGAGGTCATGGATTCTCCCTCACTGGAGGTATTTGAGAACTGTCTGGATGCAATCCTGAGCCATATGCTCTAAGATGGCCATACTTGAGTAGAGAGATTGCATCACTGTGGTTCCTTCCAACCTAGCTGATTCTGTGAGTGTTGACCCTGTTATGTTACATCAAGAGGATGACTGGATCCATCCAGCAGAAGAATCCTGTCTTGAAAACCAATTTTATCTTTGCTGAGTGATTTCCTTACTTCACATCAATCATGAGATGAATCCTAGCCTTAATTACCAAATTCACTTTGCATGTAATTTACTGAAGCTGCAGAATGACACCTTGCTACTGAATGACTCTAAATACGAACCTACATAAAGTTTCAATAGATACTATTTTCACACTTTAAAAATGTAAAATCAAATTATTTATTGCCATAGAACTACAAAATTAGTATTTTTCAAAAAGATAGTTCTGTCCTACCAAACTTTTAAACAGACAGCTCCGTAATTTTGTATTGATCTAAGTTATTATTCCAGGTTTTGTTCTATTCTTAAATTTTTAATGGATTTGAATTAGGACCTGCTATTAATTATAACAAGCAGAAGCAGAATCAGAGCTTCAATGACAAGCAATTTTGAGGACAATTATTTTATAGATAATATTCACCATGTAGGACAGTATTGTGAATGAAGCTGTAAGTAAATAATCAAATCAACAGACAACAGTTTTGACAACTTTAAATCCTTACCGGTTTTCATAGATCTTCAGATAAACTCAAATTGTAGCTTTGTTAACTATTTTTTACTCTTTATATTAAGAATATGAACACCAGGAAGAAAACAGTATGCAAATTTTACATTGGAATTGTCCAAGAAATTTGAAGCAATAGCCAGAAACAATCTGAACAATGGAAAACTACAATTACCCTGGATAAAAATATCTCCATGTTTCTTAAGTGGCATATATTACATTGATATGATGTGTAATATCTGGAGCAAAATGAATAATAATAGATACTAAAATATAAATTAAAAAATAAGGAAGCATGTCCAAGTAATAAAAGGGACTGGATAAGAAAAATATACTAACCTGTATTTTTCTGACATTTGTTCCAACTTCCTTGCCAACATACAACATTCTTCCTTTATTTTTGCTATGAATGTATTCTGGGAGGTCAGCAATGAATCCAGTTCTTCTACTAGAAATCACAGAATTATAAAACTAGAAAGTTACTTTACAATGATATAAATTTATAGATAGAAACATATAGACTAAGATATAATTCTATGTAGTCTTAATTTCTTTCCTCTAGATCCTTCTGGTTTTGGCATGTTTTTTAAACGTCAGCTACTTGGACATGGAATTAAGATATCGTCATTCACCAAATTAAGGCTCTATGTCAGAATAAGCTTAAGTGTTAAAGTGATGTTGCCACTGAATCTGGTATTGTAAGAGAAGAATCACCATGAAGACTAGGTATCTTAATGTGGTGGTTTTGCTTTTTAGCTGGAAGTTCGTTGACATTTCTAGGAGGAATAAAATTGGCAAACCATGCTTCAGCAGACTTTTGCTTGCTCAACTGGTGCAGAGGATACACTGGCAGACTCAAATGCTCACACTGTAGACTCATTTCAGTATCTCCTCAAAGAAGTGGTTCTTTTGTTTTCTGTGTCCTGAGCTTACTATGACTAATATTTTTTTCACTTTAATGATAAGATATAGACTGTCCAGTGACAGCTGCAGTCGAACCGTTTTATAAATTAATTTTTCGTTACTATCAGACCGGGCTGCACCAAAACTCATGACTTAAAATTCACGCATTCTTTCAAAAGGAAGACACTGCAAAATGATGTTTCTTGATTGCTGCTTTTAAAATCAGAGAAAACAAGACCACTCTTACACAAATTCCTTGTATGTGTGTAGGGTCATAATACACAAGGGTTTCTTTATATACATAATAAATTACTATAATTTTCAACTCCTTCTAATCCTACTAGAGATATATAAAAACAAACCCAGACATAATGTTGTTTCATTTCTGTATGCTGCGACAATTTATGCACCAGGAGAGTAAATTACATCTCTCTTGTGCAAAATTACACTTGGTCATATGCAGATGTGCCGGCTAGAAGAGGGGAAAATGATTCTGAGAGCTTCTTTTCTTTTCCTACAGTGTAGACAACAGCCATAATATAGCTGTTTGCATTCCCTGAGCACAGGGAAAGGTCCTCTAGTACTATGATAATGCTGAAAAAAAGGCAGAAAATCAGATGGCAGATGTAAACATGACTGCTACCTCAGGTACTATCTGCCACTGCTTAGGATTAATACATGTTACATAGTTTTCTCGAAGGCATTCCAGGAATGGTGGGTAAAACCAATATTTCATTAAACATATGAGTATACCATGTTCCATAGAAGCTTGAGCTCCTCCTCTTTACCATGCTCAGGGATCAGAGATTTCCTCTCTAAAAATCTTATAAAAAAAATTTTATTTGTCATTTGGCTTTATGGTGGTTTGTTTGTTTGTTTATAATATGCATCTTTATAAATGTGGTTGGCATAGTACTTCACAATTAAAAAAGGCTTTTTTTTGCTGGTTTGAAAAGCCCATTTTACTTCCAGATTAAAGTTAGAAGTTATTGATTGGCTAAGTCAATGCAATGAAGTCCCCTATTAAGAGAACCTGAAGTATGCAAGGGATTAAACATCTTTCTTCTAGATTTAGGATTTGGGGAGGGGGGCACATGGTAATGCTAAAAATGTTTGAGGCTGCAAAGATTAAATAAAGGAACATATCAATTTGGAGCCAGTGAATTACATCCAGCTGCGACAGTGAATTAAGAACCGATTAATGGCTAAAGCTTTTCTCCAGTTTGGATGCCGAAGCAAACTCATTAAGCTTTTAGAGTAGCTATAATGTGTGTACTGTGGGAACTGTTCAATGCTATTCAGGAGACTTTAACTGTAAGCTCAGAGCATTTCCCGCAGAGCTTCTGATGCTATTTTCTTTATATAACATGTGTGCCTGAAAATCCGGCCAAAAACAAGCCCTTTGTTTTTCTACTTTGTTGTGGTCTCTCTCAGCTTTACGTTTCTTGAACACAGGTAAATAAACTCATAATCCAGATGGTGCAACAGATGTGAGAGCAGCACTCTGAAATCAACAGACAGTGGGCAATACTTTCCATTTTCTCTTTTAAACGCTAACTAATATGTAATTCGGAATCTCCGGTGTAGTTAGCATCTGCTCCCTTCGGCCAGCCAAAGGTTACAGGTGTTCCTGATGTCATTTCACAGTAAGGCGTGGGCCTGGCTTGTGAGTGAGTGCCCAGGCTCTAATCTTCAGTTTTCTCATGCTGGGCCTCCATTTGCTGCATCTTCTGTGTCAGCTCCTGCTCTCTTTGCTGGGCCTGAAGGGCTCGGGCCTTTGCTTCATTGCTAATGCTGTGCTGAATGCTCTCTTTCTCCATTCTATAAAAAAAATAACCAAATAGGAAATAAAGAAAAATAAATATCATATACTGAAGGTGCTAAATGAAATAGGTAAAAGCAGAACATTCAATTAAAAACGACAAAAAATCTGGCCAAGCTGTTCACATTAAACATTCTCCTCCTACTTCAGGTTATACAAACTGACCTTTCTCTTACAATGTCAAACATTCTCCAGTGACTAGTAGAAAATGGATAAAAAATATGATTTATTTCCTGAGAGAAAATTGGCCTTGCAGACAAAAATAGGATTTTATTTTTAAAAATTTTAAATACAACCTCTTTTTCATAAGGAAGCTCACCAGCATCCACTTCGCATTGAACAGATTATTTGCATTTTGTTTTAAATGCTATTTGTTTAATTCTGTAATGAAGCTTAGGGACCTGACCCCGAGATGGACTGGTTCCCAGTGAACCAGCAGGAGATAAGTCAATGGGAGCAATTGCCACAGTGCTCATAATACAGCTACTCTGAAAGCTTAATGAGTTTTCTTAAGCAACCAAACAAGTTTTAACTATTAATTTATGTAAATAGGAGATGAATGCAACCATTACAATGGAGAAGACTGCTAGCACCACACAGGCCCAGCCCCTTGTTGTTCTGCTCACTGGGGGGTTGTACAAGAAGGTCTAAAGCCCAGTACTATTATTGAAGTACGCAGGCAAGAGAGCAATTTACTTGACCAGATATGCAAGATGGGGCAATCTACTCCTGAGGCAAAACAAATGCTAGACTACCACACTCCATTGAAGCATTTTATTTAATGCAAGCCAAGCAAAAACAGCATGGAAAATAAAACCCCAAAAAGATATACGCATATAAATTAGAAAAGGTCCTGAACTGCAAATTCATATCTAGACTTTCCCAAAGGTCGTGAATATTTATCTGCTGTACATTGGGATCCAGATTCAAACCGTCAGTGAGTTCACACATACAAGGATTGATTTCTAGATTTCAAGTGACATAATCACGTACCTTTCTACTGAGACAACATTCAATAGCTTGGGATAGGTTTCAATAAAGTCTTGTAAACATATTTTCTTCTAGGGATAATACCTATTTCAGGGGAGTATAAAAGAGAACACGGGCATAGATCACGTAAGGATAAAGCCACATCTCATGTGGCTGCTGCACTTAACCCTTGGATCAGTGCCTAATAACCCATCCGAGATATTGCAATATCTCAGCATGACACACACAATGTTAAATCTTCTCTCTCAAATTTACCCCAAAGCAATACAAATGGTGGGTCACATTACACTAATTCCTGGTCCTGATGTTGCAAGCCCTACCTTAGGCAAAACTCCCTTGGAAATCACAGGCAGTTTTTTCTGAGGTAAGACAGAGAATATGTTTAGATAGCAAGAATATTACAGCATTAAGGAAACAAAGCTCATTTTTAAAGGAAATATCATACATTGAACTGCACTTTATCACATCACTCTCAGAATTACTTCGTAACCATATTGGGGCTATCCCAAGGAGTGATGTTTGCATCATTTCCTACAAGTAAGCTCCAAATATGGAAAGTATTAAAAAGAAATTTTTTTCCATATTTGCTGGAAACCAGACTATGTAAACCCCTTCCCTTTTACAAATGGTGTTTGCCTACAGAAAGCTGTCATGAGCACTGGGCTGCTCAAAAAACCCAACAAAAACACACCAGCATCTCACACATCCTCCCAACACTTCCAGTTAAAGAAAGTATCAGTAGCCCAGTATTTCATTTAACAGGGTCTCTCTTATGTGAGAAGGCTGTGTGCAGTTGGGTGCTGTGCGGTCATCTGGCACACAGCTGGCTGGCTAGCATTCTGCTGGGGGTAGCCTTCAGCATGCATCAAGCTGCACAGCTCAAGCTACCAAGGCAAGCCTGTAAAGGTCCATTCCTCATTGCTAGTGTCTCTCCTGATGAATAAATGCTAAGAGACAAATTTGAAATAAATGGAGAATACACTGACACCAGAAACACTCTCTTATTAAGGGGACCCGTACAAAAAAAACCCACTCAACTTCTGTTACTGTACAGAGCCAACTATTGGGAGCTCTGAAACCATGGATGTGTGGCAAGTTCCCTATGACTGAAGTATATATGGAATGGTTCAAGATGAGTTTATACAGTGGATAAAAACTCAATTGTAAGATTAGGAAAACACAGGTAATTATTACACAGAGGGGCAGCTTCTTGGAATCTAGAAAATCTGGACATTAAAACACATCCAGTGCCACACAAAGAGCAATATCTGAGGTGCTCAGAGCTGCTGAGGAACAAAAACATTTCCTGAAGCCAAAGCTGCCTAAATGGAATGGCAAGTCTTTTACCCACACCTTGTACTGACACATTCCAGGCTCTCTAAATTCAATCTCTCTGCCCTCCTACTGAAAATTTCCCCAACACATATACAGAGAAAGAAGATGTAAAAAAAAGCCTAAAACATGCAGAAGATGGTCCAAGAGATTTCAGGTTCTACTGGTAATATTCCTGCTACAAGCAGTAAATACTGCAGGAGTTTTAGAAGGTTTGACACTGGCTGCTTATTTGCAATTACTCTGGATTGGGAAAGAAGGGGAGCTTGATTTAAGAAAAAGAATCTATGGACTGTAAGACAGAAGGAAACAATCCTTAGTCCCCCAGCATTAGTGTGAAGATACCAGAAGTCTCCTCCTACAAAACTATCAGAATTTCTCATATTCACTAAAGGAAAGCACAGGGACAACATAAAGCAAAGCTACAACACACTAATTTTGCTGAACAGGTAAGATCTCAATCACAAGTAACAGCTAAAGATTAATCATTCCAGAACTTTTAAAAATGTCATCTCTAGAGATCAAAAACAGGGGACAGAGTGGTTAAAGTGCGACAGCCCGTTCTCTACTCGAATGCAAACATCAACTCAAAACTGGAGACGGTAGCAAAAATTACAGTTCTTTCACACAGTACCCATTGCAAAACACTAAACAAATGTCCATCTGATAATGAGTTTGCATTTGATCACAACACTGATTGGTGACTTTTTTTGTGCCATGAAGTCAGAAGCTCAAAAAACTCATTCATGGAGACTAACTTGAGCTCTTCTTGAGCCCTGTTCGAAGCACAAGTTTTCCACATGGATTTTAGTTTGAAATACCAACTATTTTGAGACTGCCAAAAGCCATAGTTAACTTAGTTAACTAGTTTTCATATCTCAGTGACCTGGATATTGGTTTGCAGTGCACGAAAGCTATGCTTTCTATATGTTCTTGACAAAACAAAAAGCACTGTAAATTGTAGCCTAAACATAAAGAAGAAAATTGCCATCACTGGCAAACCTTATAAAAATCCTCTCAGAAAATGAAGCAAAATTAATTTTGACCTCAAAGCTAACATAAAAGTATGCTGGCTGAATTTGAGCCATCAAATCTAATTTAAAAAACAGCAACAGAAAACCCCAAACCAACCCAAAACCAAAAACACCACAACACCTTTCCCAGCTCTAACAAACGAAATACTGGATCACGGATCCATTTTCAATAGAAGACTGCTCTCTGCCAAATGGCTTTGCAGTAAAGAAACATGAAGGATATAAAGACTAGTGATATAAAAGTCATATTTGACATAAATAATAGCTCATCTATTTTTGACTGCAAAAGAACAGAATTTAGATGATAAAACGTTGAATTTCACAAAACAGTTATTAGTGGATATTTCTGAAAGACTTTTTTCATTCTGGTAACAGTAAAAATACAAAAAGAAAAATACAGGATGATTCTCAATGTGCAGTTTAGCCTCTGATTGGAGACATCCAGTAAATATTCTGACAAAGCAACTATGATTTGTAGGAACCATGCTTCCTATATTGATTATTTGATTTTTCCATGAGAGCAACATGTGGCATTTTGTAAAATGCTAATGGATCCATTAGTAAGGGCTATGAACTTAATTTGACAAATTAAAATAGTCTAGCAATTAGTTCAGTAACATACAAGACGCTACCATAATACTATTTTTCACGTCTTCATATTAATTATAGCTGAAATGTAACTATAAATCATTTTAGCTTTCATATACACTTACTTTAAACTGAACTTCATAAATCATTAAGGAGTAGTTAGCACTTACTGTTGAAAATGTTTGAGATATATGAACTAACAAGACTGTTGTCTAAATGATGACCAGTCCTGGAACTCCACACCAACACTCCTCCTTGGGCAGCAAGAGGACCAGTCAAGCCTAACACTGATGCTTTTACTACATGCCTCAGTGACTGAGCACAGACCTCTTTCCTAGACAACATGCAGCCAAGTGGGCCAGCACTGTGAACCACCTCACAACAAATCATCTCAGAAGAGGGATAGGACACACCTGAAGGCTCTCTCAGCTTTTTCAGAGGGAATGAGCTTTCTCTCACAGCATTTTTGAAAATAAATGTATAGCACAAGCTTCTCTACGAAACTGAAAAACAGTTTTGGGAAGGTACCCAAACATTTTATTCCCAGTATCTTTAATAAAATCTAGCATGAAGGCACTCATATCAATTACAATGCTTTCGAAAGTAGGACTTGAAACTCTACATATATTAGGAACTCTAAAGACCAATAACTTTGGGTGCAAAGACTCCGGAATATTTTATGCCATCTACTCTGCAAGCTTTCCACAACATAGGTCTAGTGGATTGTCCACTACAAGCAGCTTTCTGAACCACGTTCCCGTTGGTTATTTCAGGTTATTACTTCAGCTACAAGTGTAAAGGGAAGAATGGAAAATCAGAGTATAGCCTTGCTCTTCTCTCAGGCTACAGGAAAGAAAAAACCAAAGCACCAAACAAACCACACATCAACATTCACAGGGAAAAAAAAGAAAGAAGCAAAGCTGAAACAAGAGGTCACAATACCTGTCCTATCCTGTAAGGGGAAACATGAGAAAAACATTTGCAATCTCTTACTTTACTACCAGAAAGTATTCAAAAACTGCAATGATAAAGGTCATAAAAGAATATATATAGAA